AAAACAAAAAAGAGCTGACCAGTGGTACTGTTAGCCAAGGACAGCCATTATTGGGTTGAACAGCTAAAGTGCAGGTCAGAGAGTGCTCATTCTCATTTTCGCCCTCCGACGACTGCGACCACCATGTACGGAGGCTGTTCACCAACACCACTGCCATGTTCAATATCTTCGCCAGCAACCACCATAAAGCTTCCCCTACTCGTGTCATCTCGGCTTTCACATATAATCTATATGCATTTTCACTCTATATATACACATTTGTACGTATAGGTCCCACCACAGTCCATCGTGATGATTAAAGTTGAAATAGTTTAAGCGAAAATACCAAGTAATAATAGAAGTGTCTTATGCAAGTTTATAAAGACACTTCTATTTGAAAATAAATTAGTACGTTCCAAAATAAAATATTTTTAATTTAAAATATAAATAGCTTTCAATAATAATTTGTACGCCAATAAAATTTTTATATTCAAAAAAATATATTATTTTTTATTCTTAGTTTAGTTTTATGATAAACAAGATGGATGTCATAAGTTCGTAGTAAAAATGAGAATTCAAATTGATAAATAAATACGATGGGTAAAATAGAATATATATATTACAAATATTAAGATGCTTTGCTTATATTTTACAACTGGAAAAAAGATTTATATTAACGTTCGTTCGACGTTCTAATGTATAATTTTGATCATCTCGGTGGACTGTGGTGGGACCCATACAAATGACGTTAGACGTTCACACGCTAGTAGTTGTGCTCCCTCCATGCAAGTGTGCAAGTTTATAAGACACTTCTGTTTGAAAATAAATTAGTACGCCCCAAAATAAAGTCTTTCTAATTTAAAATATAAATAGCCTTTAATAATATTATTTGTATGCCAATAAAATTTTTATATTCATCAAAATATATTATTTTTTTTATTCTTAGTTTAGTTTTATGATAAACAAGATGGATGTCATAAGTTCGTAGTAAAAATAAGAATTCAGATTGATAAATATGATGAGTAAAATAGAATATATATATATATATATATATATTATAAATATTAAGATGCTTTGCTTATATTATATAACTGGAAAAAAGATTTATATTAACGTTCGTTCGACGTTCTAACGTATAATTTTGATAATCTCGATGGACTGTGGTGGGACCCATACAAATGACGTTAGACTTTCACACGCTAGTAGTTGTGCTCCCTCCATGCAAGTATGCAAGTTTATAAGACATTTCTATTTGAAAATAAATTAGTACGCCCCAAAATAAAGTCTTTCTAATTTAAAATATAAATAGTTTTCAATAATAATTTATACACCAACAAAATTTTTATATTCATCAAAATATATTTTTTTTATTCTTAGTTTAGTTTTATGATAAACAAGATGGATGTCATAAGTTCGTAGTAAAAATAAGAATTCAGATTGATAAATACAATAGGTAAAATACAATATATACATATACATATATATTTTACAAATATTAAGATGCTTTCCTTATATTTTATAACTGGAAAAAAGATTTATATTTTGCACGTGATGGAGTGAGACATTTTGATAAAAATACACTTTCATTAATTATACTTGTCCAAATATTATCCTTCCTTTTTTATTATATTTTTTCTCTTTAATATTTCACAAATTAGGTTATATTAAATGAATATTATTTTTTAAAAATTTATATTGGTGTTTTAAAAATTTAAAATTATACAGTATATTTAATAAAATTTATATTAATATGCATTGTTTGTCAAAAATATTTTATAAACTGGAAGGATGATGCACCCGCCATCCATCAAGCATCATCTTCCTTCACACAGCGGTAGAATATTTAGGAGCTTGGCCCCACTTCTTTGACTTTGTTGTGGGTTGGATTTCCCCAGGAATGTATTTTAGGGTTTGGTTTTGCAGCGTAGCTTCTCTGCATTGAAAATAAATAAATAAATTAAACCATCCTAATTTAATCTAAATAATTCAAATTTAATATTTAATATTTTTATTTTATATTTATTAAAATAAAATATCATATAAATTATCAAAAATTTAATGAATCTGTTTATCAATCCAAACAGTCTGAATTTAATATATGTAGTCCAAATTTAATATTAAGATTTAAAATGTTTTTGGTTTATAGTCACAATTGGCTTAGCCCAGAAGGCAGTGGCGCGAAGGAAACTTCCTAGAATTTTTCCATGAAATGTTTTTGGTTTCATTTCGTGGGGATCATGTCATGGAATTTAGATAATTTAAAACTGATTTTAATAATTAAGATTTAAAAAATTTAACCCGTAATTTTGACAAAACATTTTTTTTTGGCTAAAGTGATCATTATAAAATTATCTTTATTTTAAAATAATAATTTATTGAAAATATAAAAATAAAATTTCATCAAAATCTAGATCGTCCAGTCCTAATCTTCTAATTCTACTATCTATTTGAGCTTATATAACTATTGGTGAAGAATGCATCCATAGCCCAAATTGAGTATATATGAATTAGAATGTACAAAGAACTGATACAGTGACTTGCTTGCATTATGGAATCTCAAAATACGAGAAGACTAGGAGTATATTATGATGATCCTGAATTTTAGAGTTTAAGCTTCTTCTTCTTTTTCCTTAGCCTATCATATCTATTTTTAACCCCGACATGTATGTTAAAAAATCCAAAAACTTTATATACTAAAGTGCTTGCATTATATTCAGAATGTTTCTAAAACATCCTGGAAGGATAAAAATAAATATTCTTATAAACTTTTCTTGTATTTATTTTCTCTCTGCTTATCATTTTAACCTTTCGATCAAATTTTGAATGGTTAGAATTTAGTATTTCATATAATTACTATTATTAAGATGTGAAATTATGAAAAATAAATAAATAAATTTAAAATACAACAAATTTGATTTAAGCTACAATTCAAATTTTAAGCTTGTAATTAAGAAATAAATTTTATTTATAAAATACTAAATACTAACCATTCAAAAATTAATCTAATGATTGAGACGATAAGTGAAGAGAAAGTAAAGAAAAATTAAACGGGGAGAAGAAAAGTTCATATGTGTTATGGATACGTATGCAACACATTTTCTTATGAGAATTGGTTATGGTAAATGCATGTTAAATATAAAAAAAACATTTTCAATAGCCTGCATGCTAAACTTATGTGGTACAGATTCGGTAAATAGAACAAAACACACCGTTTTGGTCATTGCGTCCCTCACTCCAATACATATTGACAAACGTAGGCACTCCCTTCAAGTTAAATTCATGAAAATATTGCCAAATAATATGTCTGTGTAAGAATTAGTTTTTAATAATGTTTCGAGAATTAATTTTCATTAATCAAATTCATTACTAAAATTAATTTTATATCGTCTTTTTTTAATTATTGAGCTCGGTTTTCTTTTTCTTAAAAATCCAAACACTCATGAAGTGCGATAAATTATATTTAGCTCACCAATACGTTAATCAATTAAGGACTAAATCACTCTTCTAGGCTTATTAAAAGATTCTGAGCTTGTAACTTGAATTCATCATTTTAGTACACCCAATAAGGCTAACTCAATCGGTTTAGAGTATGTTTGGATGACCCACTTTTAATATTTAAAAAATATTTTTTTACTTTTGAGACGTAGGATGTTGTTTGATAAAAAAAGAAGAAGTTAAAAATACATCCTAAAAATATTTTGAGAATGTTATTAAAAGTGAATTTAATGAATGTAAGATGATGGGGTTTTTGAAAAGTGGGTGTGATTTGATCATGATGTCCCAAGTATAATCTATTGTTCTTTTAGTTAAAAAATTATTGTTAATTCATTACAAATATAATAATTATTTAAATTATAATAATTAATGATCAAGTTTTTAGCATTATTTATTGAATAATTAATCATTTTAATTTTTAGCATTGATGTATATTTAACTATTTATAAAAATTTTGTCCAATAAACCAAATTTTATGTTTTTCTACTTTTATTATTTAATATATCAAATTTTATGTTGTTTAAAATTTTTATCAACCAGCAAAGATTTATCCACTTGGTTAATTTTTTTTAATAAAAAAATGTATCATATATATTTTTTGAATCATGTTAATTTTTAATATTAATGTATGTTGGAGTTAAACTATTTATTATATGATTTTCCCAACATATCAAACTTTATGTTTTTTATTCTTATTATTTAACATATTAAATTTTATGTTATTTTAAATTTTTTTACATTTTTTAAACATTTCTAATATATTATATTTGTATAAAGAATTAGATATTATTATAAATTAATATCTTTTTTAGTCATTGTATATTCATGAACACATTTTAAAATATAAATCATCATTAATCTAAATAATTTTTAGCTTGTCAAACTAATTTTTAAAAAAATATATTTAAATATAAATTTTGTTATAGTAACTAATTTTTACTAAATTAAATTTTATCAAATAAAATTTTAACAAATAAATATTTGATAAACTAAAAACCAAATACACACTTAGTTTAGGAATATTTTCTGTCTGTATCAATAAAAAAATAATTAACTTTTATTTATGTGTCGGTTAAACAGTTAATATTTAAGGGATTAGATGGATTGATCACTTTTGTACCAACTTTGATAATATTATGGGTATTTTTGCTTCTAGTCTATGATTTCATAGATTTTTCCCCCTTTTTTAGTCTACATCAGCAAAGATTGACACATGACATACACAGTTAGTATTTAATGATCAAAGTTAACAGTGTTAAGTCAAAGTTAACGGTTTGATTATTTTTACACCAATTCATGTAATATTATAAATATTTTTATATTTTTTATTATTTTAAGATACTGAGTGCTCGTGGCTGACTATTTTGTAGTTATTTTTACCTTTTATTCTATAATCTATATCTATTTAAAGTTGGGACTTTTTCATGAACAGTGAATTATCAAAACTGCGCTCCAATTTCGTCTCTTATGGCGGTGATGCAAATGACTTCACAGTAAAATACCAAAAAAGCCCTCCACTCATCAATGATTTTCTTCCTTCTTGCATCATCTTTGCCGTTTTCTCCCCTGTCGCCTGACCCGTTTGCACAAACATCACCGCCGAGCCCCAGGGCGTGGTTCTACCACGCTGCGACTCGCGTCTCCTATTCTTCTCCCGCGACCACGTTACCCGTGCGTCGCAGACGCAAGTCTCCTCTCCCCCGTGCGTCCACCTCGTTGAGTTTGTCCTGGTCTGGCGATGTCAGGTCAAGATTAATTCAAGGCTCCTATACTGCTCCTAGGGTTTTTTCGCAGGGGTGATGTGGTTCAAATTTTCCTCCTATTAGTTTCCTTGGGTTTGTGTGTTCCCCTTGTGATTAGAATTTCTTTTTGCAGTCTCTTTCTGGTGTCATGTCTAGTGCAGGGATAAATAGTGCTAATGTGAAGGAAGAAGAGAAATCTGAGACATATAGTCAGAATATGACTGAAGCCATGGGTGCTGGGAGGTTTAATTCTTTTGTCACATGATTGCTACAAACCGTAGCTTTGTTTGTTACAATTTACAGTTCTAGAAGTCTATGCAATCTTCATATTCATCTATTAGTTTGGGTTAATTGAAGGATTTAAAATGATGCTTGTGGTCATCATATTCTTGCATTCTTTGAATCTGTGTTTTTAGATCTTTGATATTGGGTCCTTTCCGGTTCTGACTTATAGGCACGAACTGGGGATGGACTACAACTTCATTCGTCCAGACTTATTTGTGGGATCACGCCTGCAGGTGTTTTTTTTTTTTTTGGTCTCAATGATGGAAAAATGCAGCACTTTTTATAAAAAAAAATTGAGCTTTATCCAACTGTTTGGACCATCACAGGAGGAAGCCAGAGAATAGTATCACTGACTTCTTTGCCATATTCACATAAAGTAAAATAGAAGGGAAATGCGTTTTTCATGTAGAATTGCATTGAAAACTTGTGTCAGTTACAGTTTGTGTAAATATATTAGCAAAATCTGGAATAAAGATATTATGTGTTTATGCATGTAATTCATTTAATCAAAAGTTACTTCACATATAGGGTGGAATGAACTTAGAACAAATTATAGTAGTTGATGGAACCATCACATGCATCAACGGCAGTTGGGCAATACTGTGTGTCATTGCACATGGCATAAGCTATAGGAGGAAGGAACTTAAATCAGGACGCTTACGACATAGGCTCATTTTTCCCCCCTTAAAAAATTGAGGATTCTGAAGTGTTCTTGTCAAACGAGCCTAGACTCCCGTATGTTTTTGTCTTAATCTCTTACAAACATTGGACCTAACCTTCAGGTCAGTTTCTTCTGCCATTCTGATTATTTCTTCCCAGATTCATCTTCTTTCCTAACCTTTTTATTACCTTTTGTTCTCTAATTAATTTTTTATCTTTAACAAATAAGTATTTAGACTAATGGAAGGTACTTTATCTGGAAAAAATAATTAGACTATAGTGGCAATTTTTTTTGGTTTCAAGGGAAGTTAGCATATATGTTGAAAAAAGAGATGTGTGTATAATTTACTCTAATTATTACATTATGGATCTACTTACTCCGCATTTCTCCGTTCGTAAAGTATTGCGTTTTGACTTTTATGAAAACTGCTGCACCTTTACGTTTTTTGTCAAGAATCTGCCTCTGATTGATAGCCATTCATTAGATAACATGACCTGTTCATCTTATCGATTTATTTCCGAGTTGTTTATGAGTTTTGGATTTTAAAAAGGAGCTGTTCGTTTGATGGCCTAATAGAAATCAAACACCATGTGTTGGGCTCATACGTGGACTAATGTATTTTTTTAACCACTTAGGATTGGATTTTTCAGGGAAGCACTGTTAAAATTATGAAATCCTTACTGCACCTTGGCCATTGAAGAGAGTGAGATTATTTTCAGATTGTAAACATAGAAAATAGCTTGAACAAATAGATAGGATAATTTTGACAGTTACGACCATAAAAAAATGACATGTCATGCCTTTCTTTTATTTTGTAGTTGTTTCTTTTAGCATTTGTTATTTATCTTGATTAGAAATCAGATTGATTTTCTTGTATCATTGTCAAACAGGAAATTGAAGAATGAATTATCAAAAACCCATTTTGTGGAGACTTGTGGTCTTCCGATTAGCACTTGTGGGCAGAAATCAAAGGTGATTTATGAAAGTGCCCAATCAATTCATTTTTTCCTTTCTAGCAATATAGAATTCAGTCTTTGAAATATAACTTCTTTTATATTTTGGGAAGTTATACACACCATATCACTTCCATCCACCATTTGTTTAGACAGAAAGGTTTGATCCTTTTTTCTTTAGATTTTGTATGGGTATTGATTTAGAGAAAATATTTTGCTTTATTTTGATGATTTTGGAGGAAAAAAGAATCAAATATACAGCCATGAATATGAAAGCATGTTTTGGGATTTGGTTTTGCAGTCATATTGAACGAAGTTGTTCATTTTTTAGGTGCAAGTTTACAAAACTATTACTGTCATTCCAATCAATATCGCTAGATTCCTCTTTCTTTACTCCTACATTGTGTTTGGGAAATATTGCTATACTAATATGATACCATGAGAAAAAACAGAGTATGTGTAAATTCTTACAAGTTGTGGCATATTTATGTAAATTACATTTTCCTGTTATTTACCATGATCTGTTTCTCACTTGACTTCTATTGGTTACTGATGCTAAGTTGTATTGATTGTCTGAAGCTATTTTGTTTTCTCAATAAACATAGGAAATACTGTAGAGTTAGGAGATTTACTGTTGGAATATCAGGCGGTAAAAACCTGGTAGCCATTATCCAAGCCTCTGGGAGCATTAGTCGTGTCAAGAGTTCATTAAGTGTGTCTAGATCAGGTATTATTGCTGAACAGTTCGTTGAGAAGATTCACAAAGTAAAAGGTACAATTAACTGCGAAATGTAATTAAGCTACATTGCATTGATTGTTGAGGTTATCATTATGCATCATCATGGATATTTTCCTCGTAGAACAATTATATTAATTGTTGTCACGACTAGGTGTAGGGTCTGTGTGTTATATGGAGTGTATGGTGAGCCGCATTGTGCATGGCTTATGAATCAATTGATTATATATATATATATTATATTTATTATATTTATAATGGATGGAAGTTTACATGTTTCTTTTTGCAACATGTCAAATAGCTTGTAGGTTTCGGAAGGAGTTCAATAAAAGTGGAGTAGCCTAGGAATGATGGGGCTATGTTTCTATATTGATATTATTATAGTGCACTATTTGTTACAAGTTTTGAAGGGCATTATAAAACGATAATTTCATGTGTCTGATCATCTATGCTTAGCTTCTTCCCATGTTTTCTGGTATTTTATTAACCTTCTCTATGGTAGGATGTGCACACTGAACTTATCCAGCACTGAAGGGCTCAGATGATAAAAGAGAGAATCGTTAAAGGGGAATTGAATATTGATTCACCCTTGCAAAGTGATAAAGGTTTATGTCCTCTCTCGCCTGAAGAGGTATTCTAGGCTTGCTAATCTTCTTGAAATTCTTTGTTGTTGTTGCACTTTCAAAGGGTAGTCTCCTTTACAAATGTAGAAGTTAAAATGTAGATTTCATATCCTCAGTTGAAGTGGACGGTTGCACTATAGGACACTAGCCGGTGCCTTTCTATTGGACTACTGACATAAGTAGCTTGTCTTCCTGTAAAATGGTTTATAACTTTTAGATAGCATTTGTCGATTTTACTTCCTCTAGGATGGCGAGTGTGACAATTTCTTGGATCTATTATGAGAATTATTATATGTCTGAAGTTTCAGTAGGAATTGTTATCTCCTGACATTTTCTACTCTTGTTGCATCATGGTTTTATTATTTTTGCTTTGTATTGATACCCTTTTGTATGAATATGATAGTGATTTTCTATTGTTGTGGGGCTTTGGAAGTTTTACAAAATATGATAAATTCATCATGTACACCCTGCTTGTGTAAATTCCTAATTCCAAATTGTAAAGTGACTCCAAGATAGTTTCCTTCTCCTTGGTTTTCTTTACTTCTAGGCTGTGAAGAACAAAGTATCCACTTGGATTGGCCCGCAAGTGTGAGATTTTGTCAAGGAGTAGCAAAGGGATTGACTTATCTTCATGAGGAATCAAGATTAAAAATAGTACATTGGGATATTAAGGCAACTAACGTATTGCTGGATAAGGATGCGAATGCCAAGATCTTTGACTTCGGTTTAGCAAAGCTCAATGAAGATGATAATACCCATATTAGCACCCGAACAATGTCTATATTATGCCATATTCAATTCTATATTTGATTGCTCATTTAACAGAGTCTATCTTCACCACGCATTTGCTTTAATTTGTGATGTAAGATTTGGTATTGCATAAAGCCATTCTTATTCAAATGATCTTAGAAACATCAATATTCCATTTGTTTAGTAAAATTACTAATTCGCGGGTGTTGCATATTCTCTTTTCAATGGTTATATGGCTCTTAAATATATAATCAGGGTTACATGACGAGCAAATTAGATATTTTCAGTTTTAGAATTGTTGTTTTGGAAATTGTTTGCGGAAAGAACAGCATAAATTATAAAAAAGGTGTTTTATTTTAAAATAAATATAAAGTAATTTATTTATTATGTGTTTTTTAAAAAAATACATTAATTATATATTAAGATGTTAAAAATGTTTTATATTTTTAACAATCTAATTTTTAAGATATGTATCATACTTTTGAACGGGGAGTAATATGAATTCTTTGAATTTATATAAGTGTATTTTTTTAAAATGAAAGTGTTTTATTTACTGAGCATGAGATATTTTTGCAGCATGGGGGTGGGGGAGAGGGGAAAGTTACATTTTATCGAACAGTAAATTATAAATAATATATAGCTTTTTTGTTTGTTTTGATACTCTTCTAGCACTTCCGTAAATTATTATGATACAAGATATTGAATAACTCATTTAATATTTTATTAATGAAATAAGACATTAACAATTATAAGTTCCTTCTTAAATAAGTTTGGTTAATTGCAAATAAGTTCATGCACAAAAAACTTAAAGATAATAATTCATGACAAAAGTAATAATGTATCTTCAAAAATGATCAATGTCCCATTCTAAGATATTTTTGAGGCCATAGAAAGGGAACCACACACACACACACTTTATGTTATACCATACGCTGGTTACTTGCTTATAGGTTGTACTTGTCTGTCATAATTAGTTATGACTAATTAATTATATAATTTACATTTTTTATTTGATTGTTCAATTGATTGTAGATACTGTAGTCCAGCTAAAGATCACATGCTTATTTCGAAGGGAAAACAAAACCTAAATAACCCAAACGTTGTTGATTTCAAATTATTGGTATGTGATAACAAAGATACTCTATAATATAACTTATCCTATGTGAAAGTAATTTTGAAAATACAGGTAAATGAATTTAATTAGATGATATCTTATTCATGCAATGCACGGGGTGAATACTAGTTTGTTTATAAATTATATATTATAAGTTGGAAACTTTATAACAAAAAAATGATTCTAAATTCTAATAAATAAATAAATAATTGTTTATATAAAGAAAGACTTTTTTTTATCTTATTATAACTTTATGTTTTATACATTGCTTTTTTATATTTAATTCCATTAACTTATATCCTTAACATAATTTAATAGATATTTTAAAATAATTTTTATAAAAATATTAATATTTATTTTTCTAAGGACTAATTATATCTCCGCCAACTTACTTTTATGTGTGCGTCATTGTCCATAAAGCATTGGATTATATTTATTTGCGGTCTCTTTTTTTGGTTCAGATGATAAATATTCAAAATCAGATTAGTATATTAACTGCTCATTGGAAGGTTGGGTAAGGTAGAAAATGCATTGCATGGCACCTAAAAATTTTAAGGGAATTTAATTCAGAGAACCTTATATATTTTTTTTAATTTTTAATCAAGTCCCTGAACTTTTTCATTTTTTTTCTTTTTATCAGATCCCTTATGTTTACTCTGTTTGAGGCGTTAATCCCTAAAGAATAAAACCATTTAGTAAGAACTAACAAGCTCTAACCGGCGTTTATAAACTATGAAGTGGTTAATGGGTTGATAAGCTGGTAGTGACTTTGCATCTTTTGGGTGTTTGAACTTGTTGTGGCATCTGAAAATGGATTTTTTTTGGGTTTTTGATCGAAGATTATGAGCATTGCTAGATGAAAATGATGCATCTATAGTATTGAAGGAGGTTGCTTAGCTGAGTGCGTGGATTTCTCAAATATGCAACAAATGAAGTTAATTTTTTTTCTGGAGAGAAAGAATATGTCCTCAAAGAATCTTTGTTACAAAAAAGAAAAATAATAGAAAGTCACTTTACCCAGAAAAAATTAGCATAGTTCTTGCCTGAAGCTCGTGACACCATTAAAGTTTAATGGAATAGAGATAGGACAACAAATGCACTATATTAATTTTTTTCCCCGAAAAACGCGGCTACTTTTTCCCAATTTGATTTTTGGTCTAAGTCTCTCTTGTCAAAAGATTCCCTGCTAGTTGCCACCTCACATCTTTTTAACAAATTTCTTAACTCTGTTGGCCTCTATTCAGCAATTTTATGAATGAGGGAGTAACAGATCTAACCGCAGAAACTTAAAGGATCTAATAAGAAAGGTGAAAAAAAAATGTTCAAGGACCTAATTCAAAACAAGAAGAATCTGTGAGGATTGGGAGATTAATTTTTCCCAAAAAAAAAAGATGTCAGAATATTTAACAATTTTTGCAATTTTTACCCATTGATGATTTTACAAGTTAAATGTCCTGAAAATAGTTGAATGTCCGATACGCTAAAAGAGGATTAAAAGAAAAAACTGATGATATCATTATTCATTTCTCTTTCTTTTTCTTTTTTTTTTTGTCATGTTCCTATGATGGTTTGTTTAGACTTTGTATTATTTGATTTCAAAAGTCAATCTATGCATGAAGCTACCGTGAAACAAGAACAATGTCACTAGAGTTTGCTTTGTTTTCTTGGGCTGATGAGTTGTCGCAAGGCAGAAAGGAGGTTGGATTTTATCAACTGGATTGATCTGTCCCATACTTTTTTTACTCCATTTTTTTTGATGATATAGCCAATTCTATTATTATTATTACTATTATCACCACCACCACCACTATCATTATTATTACTATTACTATACTAAAATTAAAGAAGGGCTTGAGTCTCAGGATTTTCATTTGATATTATATGAAGTTTCCATGAAACTTCTCAAAGCCACACATCTTCATTTTCTTCGTTTCTTTATAAGGCAATTTTTTTGCTTGAAAATAAAATATTGGATCAAATGTATCTAGAAAGAAAATAAAATAGGTATATTATATAACTTCAATCAAGAATTCGACCATATTACCTACATGACCTGAGGACTCCACAATATAGTGCATTACCAGGCGCTGCTATTTTTATGTCCCTTTTTTCTTCAAGACTAACAATCATTAGTAGTCATTAGATATGTTTCTTGACCTAGATACCAACTCTCTAGGTTTTCTGCTCTCAGGTTCTAAGTTGCAGCATTATCAAGAAAAACAAATAGGGTTTGCTGTCCATGCTTCATGAAAAACCTATTCATTAATCATTGGGAACAAGGGCACTTCTAACTCAAGACAGAATAGAAATCAAGTTCCTCAAGGCCGTAGATTATTGCCTGGCAAAATACTGCCAGTCACTAAGAGGAATAAACACTTACACAGGACATGAATGAATAGTATCTATGGGTGAAATTTAAAGTGCCATCTGGTACAAAGTGTCAACCATGGATAGAATTCTATTATTGATCCATTTTTGCTTCATATATTTAGCCTTTGACAACCTACTTTTAAAAATGAAAATTAGCTGCAAGTTAATTCTAACTTGTAGTTGGGTTTAGAAAGCCCAAGGTTATTCTCATCAGTAGAGAACTGATCAGATCCAAAAGACACCCGAACAGAGCAAACAATGAAGATTAATAACACAGTTAACAAATATGTCTTTATTGTATTCAGAATCTCAACTGAAGGAAGCAAAAGGCACATTAATTTCTTGCCTGGTTCATTGATGCCTCCTTGTCATAAAAATCATCAAGGAAAGGACCTGCTACTAAGCCTTTTGAATCAAAATAGTGTAAAGTTCTATGAGCCTTTGCCATAATGATTCATTAACAAAGCTGGCACTTGCCATGAGAACCTTGCACTTGCAACGATATAGCAGTTTGTTTGCATTCTGGTCCAACAAAACTAGAAAAAGAAGACAGCCAACATGAATGTCACATCACATTGACAATAATATGATTGACCTATGAAATGCTGTAACACACCAAAATTTTTTTTTTTAAATAATTTAACTCAACCATGGTTGGGTTACAGCCACACAACACATTTTTATATCAATAATTTCGATATAAAATATTTTATAATTGGCTTCAATTCACACACTATAACATTTCAGATAAATTTTTACCTCCCACATGCCATTAGGCTAAATCACATTTGTCCATCCTTATACTCCCAACAAGTAAACTAAATCACATTTGTCCATCCTTATACTCCCAACAAGTAAAATAAGCAATTTAGTCAATTTTCAACACAAGCCAGTTATTTGACCTTATAATCATGCCATTTTAACCAATCCAAAGTAAACCAAATATTAAAATTACAGTCATCCAAATTGTACCAAAAATAGAAATAGTTTGAAAGGCATGATTACATTTATATATTCATATAATTGACAATAAACAAAAAGCCCTAATATTGGCAATATAACACATTATAAATCATAAATTAAATACCCAAAAGAGACAGTGGATCTATACCACTAAGCCTCTGGGACTCCTCCACGTGTCACTCGTGGTTCTTCTCCTGAAAATTGTTAACCACATAATGAGACTCAAAAGTCCCAGTAACCAAAGCCAATTTATGATAGTGTATACAAACAGTTAAGTGTGTGCTTACTAAGTAAGAATTAAAAATAATATAATTCCAACAAATATAAGAAATATTATAATAAACACAAACAACCATCCTTATATCCCTCCATTAACCTCGAGCCGTAGCCCTCACTCGGTGCTAAATTACCCGGCCAAAGGTAGATTAGCCCGAGCCCTTACAAGCCACCTATTGAGCTCCAATAGGGGCGTACCACGTGGCACATAAATACAATAATAATAGCAAGTCTCCCAACACCTCCCACAATAATCAAACAAATTCATAATAATATTGCACAATTATACAATATTACAAAATTCATAATTTTCTCAATAATTACCCAATTAACATGAAGTAACACTAATCACAAATTAAAAGCATGGTTACCTTGTGGCTTTTTCAATAAATTATTCCTTAAAATTTTTCTCTCACCACAATCTTCACCAGTAATACAATCTACAAATAACATATTATTTATAAATATTAGTTTCAATTTTTGAAATTAATAAAATAATTCT